GTCCCCAGTCCAGTCATTCATCTTGGCAAGTGTGTGTGGGATCTGCACGGGCCGGGAGATGGCGACGACATCCATTCAAATAACTGACATTGACCGTGTGCCCGGTGCCTGACTCTGTGCTGACGACATCAAAACGCATTTTTTTGAGCCCACAGCCATTTTACAACACCGAGGAAACTGACAGGAGCTGGGTGGGGTGGAACAATGTGAGATTGTGTGTGTGTGTATGTGTGTGTGTGTTTTTTTGTAAAAGGACATGAACATATTGTTACATGTGGAAATGTGTTTTTGTGTCCCCCCCCCAATGTAAGAAAATATCCTACTATGAAAATAATTAGGCAGAACTATGCTTAGTTATAAATGACATCACCACCACTTAAAATTAGTTTATTTTTGAAAAGATATCTTTGTTGATTTCAGAGAGGAAGGGAGAGGGAGAGAGAAACAGAAACATCAGTGATGAGAGCGAATCATTGATTGGCTGCCTCCTGCACGCCCCACACTGGGGAATGGAGCTCGAAACCCAGGCATGTGCCCTGACTGGGAATCGAACTGTAACCGCTCACTGAGCCACACTGGCCTGGAATAAAATTAGTTGATTATTTAGTCTCCCACATGTAAGGGAAGCTCTCAGAAATATCATGTGGATAACTCTTCTGTATCTTTTGCATAAATTATTACATTTAGTTATCTCAACAAGCCTAAAATGTAACAATGACTACCACCTTTCTGTTTTAGAAATTAGAGAACTGAAGCTCAGACATGTTTTGTGACTTGGCAGAGGACACAGGGGAAGTGAGAGTGGGGAGTGGAATATGAAGCAAATGATCTGGTTCAAGACAGTTTGGCTCCAAATGATCTCCTCAGTCACTTTTTTACACTTAATATTATCTCATTTGATCCTCACACAAATCTTCTGAGGTTTGCAGAATAAAAATTACCGTCTTCACGCATGAAAAAGACTGACTCGCAGATCATGCAAATGACGGAGATTTCTCTCCTTCCTCCCACCTCAGCGTTTGCTGATGTGACCATGGGATGCCTCTCACAATAAGAGAGCATCCCATTACCATCATCAGCCAAAATAGACATGATGATGACCAGTCTCGCGTTTGTAAACTCCCGAGGGACTTTCCCCAACTCTCACTTAACAAGATATCATCTCCACGCTTCCTTATGACGTGTGAATAGTCTAAAAAAAATACTTCATTTTCCAAACACATCTCAGTAAGAGTTCCTCAAAGTAATCACCATAGAAATGAACACTTCTATGGTGAAGAATGAAGTCTGGTGCCCAATACAATCATTGTGAACTATGGCTTTAGATCAGTATTGCCCGGGAAGATTTTTAAAAATACTCCACCATCACCCCTATTTTACCATCCCTCAGACCTGAAAGAGACCACAGGGGCCTAAGTAGTTTTCAAAGCCAGGTTCTGAGAAGTAGTTAGGGTTGGTAGTTGGTACTCCAGGTATCACATATGGTAATTTCTGTGTTAGGCTGCTATGAATAGTATTTTGATTAAGCCTCATAATAACTCTAATGCTTGTTGTAGATCTGAATTCTGCGACTAAGACAGGATAAATGATTTGCCCAATGAGACAGAGGTTAAGTGTTTCGGAAGATAAATATTCCATTGGCAAAACTATTAACCACCAGCTACTCTGCCCCTAGACGCCCACCCCACATACGTACACAGGAATTCTGGCTTTGTTCAAAAACTCTCCAGATTTGTGTTTTTCTCTATGAAGACACTTTTTTAATTTTTTTTTAATGTAAGGGTCACCTTTATTTGGTGATGACAGGGATTTTTTTTTAATGACAGGAACTTTAGACTCTCTGGTCAGTTCTCTTTCTGCAGTGAATGGAACCGCGTGTTCACACTCATGAATGTCACACCATACTGAGTAGAGCGCTTGACTTTATTTTTCTGATAATGCTTCATAACAAGGAACAACATTTCTCCTTTAAAAAAATCAAAGTAAAATCTCAAGACAGCAATAAACACAGCAAAACAACAAATGGGGGCATGGGCTTCCCCGCAGAGGAGTTCACCCCTCCCTTCAGTCTCTGTCGGTTCTTTCAGTGACTCTTAAATTCATTCTTGAACTTTTCTGGAATGAATTTTAGACTCAGAGAAAATTTGCAAAAATAGTTCCCTTGCTCAGTTTACCCCCAGTGGGACATCTTACGTACATTTAGGACAAGGGCCAAAAGGAGAAAATTCGTATTGATGTCCATCTTTATTGTCATTACCCAGTGTTAATGTTTCATCTCCTCTTCCCTGGACTGCTGCTATCTATAGCCTTACTAGAGGCCTGGTTCACGAAATTCGTGCACAGGTAGGGTCCCTAGGCCTGGCCAGCGATCATGGCCGATCAGAGCCTTCCAGGTGCTGGCTGGGTTCTTCCTTCCGGCTGCCAGTTGCTGGCCTGGGCCTTCCTTCATTCTGCACTGCCCCCTGGTGGTCAGCACACATCATAGCTAGCAATTGGTCTCCTGGCTGAACTCCTGTGGGGACAATTTGCATATTAGGCGCATATATATATATATATATATATATATATATATTGTCTGATCTAATCATCTACATCTCTGCCTCCAGTCCAATCTGGGAGCACAAACAGAGAGAGAGAGGCCCACGGTGTAGGACTGCTCTCTAAATGAAATGTCTTCTTTAAAGCCAGCGCTCCCCATCTTGGCATTCAAATGTCTCCTCTAGGCCCAGCCACTCTGGCTCAGTGAATAGAGTGTGGGTCTGAGGATTGAAGGTTCCCAGGTTCCATTCCTGTCAAGAGCATGTACCTCAGTTGCAGGCTCTGTCCCATGATGGGGGCGCATATGGGAGGCAACCTATCGATGTGTCTCTCTCACATCGATATTTCTCTCTCTGTCTCTCCTGCTCCCTTCCACTCTCTCTAAAAATCAATGGAAAAATATCCTCAGATGAGGGTTAGCAACAACAAAAAATGCCCCCTGCGACTTATTCTCAGTTTGCATCTCCAAATTTAGCTTTGATGGCTGACTCTTTCAGTCATATCTTCTCTTAAGAAGCATTTTGGAACTTTTATCTCACTATCCTCCTCTCACCTGGAAAGTTTTTCCTCTAATTCTTCTCCATCCCACACAGTATTCAAATAACTACAAACATTGTACTTTCACATGCTTGTTTTTAATCAGCTAGTTGATGAGTTGCTTGTGAACATGAGCCTTAAGTTTGTTTTTCTATATGGTTCCCAGTGCCTGGTGGAAAGACATTCAGCACATTTTTTTTTTCTCACTGTAGATTTTGTAGAACCTCTGAATCATCCTTCTGAGTAGGGATTCCAATTTGACAGGCCTATCAACTGCTCAACAAATATTATTGTTACATGTTCCTGGGGAGCGTCCGTCATCAAAAATGCTTCCAAAAAGATATGACTTGGCAAGATCTTGGAAAAGCTCTGCCTTATTCCAGTAAACACAGACGTACGCTGCTGAGATCCACCTATGACTTCCGTCTGGTTGGAAACAGTCTTGCCCTCATGGCTGGGAGCATTCATGTTGACCGCTCAGGGCTGATTCTCCCTCAGCAGAAGGGAGCTGCCTGGCCCCAGGCCCAGCCTGCATTCCCAGGGGCGTTCCAGTAGCCAACAGCTGGTCGGTACTGGGGTCCAAAAGCCTGGCCCCATTTCCTCAATAACATCCTAGCTCTAGAGTCTCCAGGGGAGTCCACGGAGGCCTTTGATGTGATGGCATCACAGCCCAAGTGATGGAATGACGTTCAGCTCAATATCATCCTTTTGCCTCCCCAAGATACTGATCAAAGAGGACTCCCCAATACAAATTCTGCAAGAGATCTCTTCTGTCTCAGACTCTACATTCATCTGTGATGCTTCCCTCCCATTCCTCATGAAATCGACACAGGGCTTATTCATTCATCCGCTCATTCCACAAGCCAATATACGTTTGCTAATTATCATATGTCCCATATTTCCTGGATCAGGAAGACCCGATCCTACTCTTGTAGAACATGATGCTTGTGATCTCAACAGACATCTCCAATGTCTCCCCAGTTTCAGCCATTCCCCACCGTCTCTCTGAGTCTTTTGCCTTCACTTGTATTTGACTGATGGCTCAGCATGTCTCCCAAGCACCTCTACTTCTGGTTAAACTCTGCTGTCTTGAATAATTTAACTCAAAGGCTATGTCTCCTAGAAAGCTGTACTTGGCCACTCCCTCTGCTGGACTAAGTAGGGGGTCCAAATCTGGTGCTATTGCTTTCAGCTGAATTTCTTGGTATAGCTGTGTGCCCCTAACTTTTCCTCCCCCACCAAACTGTGAGCTTCTTGCCTGTCAATTTTGTCTTAGTATATATGCTTTATATCAGGCAGGACATATGTGCCTACCCGCTGAATGAATGAGAGAATAAAAGATAGATAATTTATCCTGAAAAAATTAGAAGGTGTGCTTCTATTATCCATAAGGCCTCATTCCCTAAACATGCTGATGAATTGGTGGTCCCGATCTAATTTTATATTCTGAGGAATGGAAGAAGATGGATAAACTACCCCTCTAATATCTCTGTAGAGCTTTTACCAGCAGCCATTTTAAAAATATTTTCAGTTGTGCTTTTACAAAACTTGAATGCTGCATGTGCTATTGTATTATTAAGCTTATGTTTCATATTTCTTCGGTATGCTTCCTTTTCAATAGTCTCCATGCCTACGTGGGTCGGAGAGGTAACTTAAAAATGAAAACTACAAAGAAATCTTCAAGAATACGGATTCTAAAAGGGCTATCTTTATATAGTACTTCAACCTAGCAGTACTTTTTCTTTTGAAAAACTTGGATATTGTTGAAGTTATGATGGAGTAGCTATCTCCTTATCCTAAAAAAGATGTCTTTTCTTCCTTATTCCCACACATGGATTTCTGTAGGATATGCTTAGCAAATTTTAGCTCTTGGCAAGAATCATGTGTTAATTATTATCTTTCTCACTCCTTTTTTTTTCCCTTAGGTACGTCTGTCACTAATGTAACAGCCACCGATGCTGATGACCCAGTTTATGGCAACAGTGCCAAGTTGGTGTACAGCATCCTGGAGGGGCAGCCTTATTTTTCCATTGAGCCAGAAACAGGTTTGTGAACTAAATTTTGAATTCTATTCACCATGTTATTGCTTCAGGGAAACACTTTTCTCGGGATTTGGATTATGAAATGTTACGGTTAAGTACTTTACTGCCTGTATCAATAATATTCGAATGTGTTCGTTCTGTGCAGTGTGAGGTACATGGCAAGCCCAGCCATCATTTTGATGTTGATTAAAACAAATTGCAGCCCCTTTGTACAACATCACCTATTTAACAGCTGGCCTGCCACCTGCTTTTTTTAAAAAAATGTATTTTTATTGATTTCAGAGAGGAAGGGAGAGGGAAAGAGAGATAGGAACATCAATGATGAGAGAGAATCATCGATTGGCTCCTCCTGCATGCCCCTGCTGGGGATGGAGCCCACAACCCGGGCACATGCCCTCGACCGGAATCGAAGCCGGGACCCTTCAGTCTGCAGGCCGACATTCTATCCACGGAGCCAAACCAGCCAGGGCCTGCCACCTGCTTTTATCCTGGGGTTGGGGAGAAGAGTGTCTATGAATCCAGCCAATTGAAATATCAAATTTAAGAATAAATTTAGCTACTATGTATTGACTGTAAGATGCTTGGCTTATCCATCTGTCTAAATTTCAACTTGCACATCTATAAAGTGGGTACGGAATCTACCTCCTAGGCAGTGATGGCGAACCTATGACACGCGTGTCAGAGGTGACACACGAACTCATTTTTTTGGTTGATTTTTCTTTGTGAAATGGCATTTAAATATATAAAATAAATATCAAAAATATAAGTCTTTGTTTTACTATGGTTGCAAATATCAAGAAAGTTCTATGTGACGCGGCACCAGAGTTAAGTTAGGGTTTTTCAAAATGCTGACATGCCGAGCTCAAAAGGTTCACCATCACTGTTAGGGTGATGACCAAGATCAGATGAAGCAGTAAATACTAGCCATGCAGTGTATGACACATGGTAACAATTCAATGGATGGATAGTATATTTGCTATTAGATTCCTCATTTTTAAAACAGATGCTGACATTTACCCACTAGAGTTTGTTACAAAGATATTATTATGTATTCTAATATAATACATTGTCATATTATATGTAATATGTTTTATTATTATTACCACTAATAATTCTAGGTCTGGTAGTACAGATTTTAGAACCATAATTTTATTAAATAATAGTTTCTGAAAATGAAGATAAATCTTTTTATTTTTAAAAATTTTAATAATGTCCTTATAGACATTTCGTTAGACTTTTTATAATCCACAGGCTAGTTGGGTGGCACACTTGAAAATTATCGCACAAAAAACAGTATCATTTGTGTGTATGTTTCTGTATCTGGTGGTTTAGCCTGCAAATTTCCAAGTAGAAAAAATTTAATATGCAGCTACATGCGCATATAATATCATTTCTTTGATTCATGAGTTTTTAGCATTATTGAGATAAATGTCCATGTCGTGCCATTAAGTCAATTATTAATTAAATTAAAAATTTAAAGCCCCTCTTTGCTTTCTTTGAATCCAAAGAGTAAAATCCTCATACATTTAAAAGTGAGGAAAGTAGTATTTATACATAAATAGGTCATGGGCTTAAAATTAAATTTAGACTTGGAAACAGGAAAGAACTCTTCTAAGATGCATTAATTAGGGCATCATTACATATTCTTCCTCAGTGAAGAAGGGAGTCTATCATAAACTTCATCTCCTTTGGGCTCCTCGATGACCCTGGAGAAATGGCAGAATGCTGGGTTTTTAAGGAAAAAGAAAAAAATGGAGATGTCCTATTACTTGGCCAAAGTCAAGAGAGGAAGGGAGAGGGATAGAAAGATAGAAGCATGGATGAGAGGGAAACATCAATTGGCAGCTTCCTGCACACCCCCTACTGGGGATCTGGCCTGCAACCTTGGCATGTGCCCTGACAGGTAATTGATCTGGTGGCCTCTGGGTTCATGGGTCAATGCTCAACCACTGAGCCATACCAGCCAGTCCCATTTCCTTTTCATATCAGGATGCTGGCCTTACTCATGAGGATCAGACTTCTAGCTTTAATGATAAATGTTATGACAGTGATCATTCCCTTACCAGACTATGGGACATGAACATAGTCAAGATATTTATAAAAAAGAAGATTGACCATGGAGCACAGTCATCAAGTCCTTGATGCCAGGACATTTTCAATAAGGAAAATATACAGAGCATAGGAGATAAGAAACCTTTTACGCTTCTTATTTTATCCTCACAGGAATGCTAGAACAGAACTCTGGACTTCGGGACAAATCAGTTTTGCTGTCCTCTTGTTTGTTATATTTCAAATTTCTAGAATTATTTTCTGTTGCTATAAGCTATTAATCTCTTTACCTCACCGAGAGATCCTTCTCTTGTTTCAGGTATAAGCTTAAGACAGTAGAGAGATTTGCCATTTGTTCTATTAATTTGCTTCTTTGAGTTCATAATCAATGATTAACTTGCCTATTGACTTATTTATATGTTTAACTCACTTCTCAAGCTAGAATATACAGTCTATGAAAGAATGGGGGGTTTGTCTTATTTGTTCATTTTATATCCCTTTGCCTCTCCAAGTGTTTGGCACCTAGAAGCCCTTTCATATGTGTTTTAGATAGGAAAGCAGGATGAAAAAGAGATGCAAAGGAAGGATAGGAAAGGGGAGGAAGGGGAGCATGGATTAATATAGAGAAAAGCTTGCCCCAACTCACACAGAAGATGTATGATGAACCCACTAGGGAATGCAACTTGGTTTCTAGTTTATATCCCTTTTGTTTTTTCCTCTGGTGGGAAGAACATCATTTTAACCTCAGATGTGATTTCTATTGTTGTTGTTGAGATTCACTTAGGACTAAATGTCTGCCATTTCCAAGTCTCATACTATGTCTTAAGTGTCTAGCCAACACGATGCTATTCTTGTATTTGCAAAAAGGAGCCTTTAGATTGTGATAAACTCTGGCCCAGATTTAGTTCTAGATCACACGCTGAGATTGAAAGGCTCAAGGGCCACTGCACAGGGAAGGAATGGTTCTTAACATATCTTCTTATTTCAGAGGTCACTGTGATATTAATAATCATAACTACGACAAACAAAAGGAACATATCATTGTGTTCCTACAGACCTCTGGGTTTAACAGAACACTAAACCAAGTGGAGAGAAGAATTACTGTCTCTAACTTGCAAATGACAAAACTGTGTTTCAGAAAGAATAAGGCAAAATGCCTTACTTTAAATCACACTCCCTGGCAAATTATAGCAACCAGAGGAAGAATAAAAACAAGAATATAAACAACCACCATCTCATTTATTGGACACATTATGCTCCTGGCATTGTGCTAATGGGTTTGCATGCATTATCAAATATAATGTAATTTATTCCTCACAATATTTTAAGATAGATATTAATGTCATCTTATTTTTACTGATGGGAGTACAAGACGGTCCGAACTGATACATTTCTTGCCCAAAATGTTTGAAGCAAGACGCAAAGTGAGTCTGTGTGATTTCAAACTCTCCTTTTTCACCATCACCATTCTTCTGCGACCCCATATGACTGCCAAGCGGTACAGCTCGTGCTTGGGGCTGTCATTGGTTTGTACAGGGACCTGTAGAACTTGGAAGCAGGCCCAGGTCTCTGTTCTCCAGAGACCTGGGGGCATTTTGGTGACAGAGAGGATGTAAGGAGATAGTAATTGTAAAATAAATGGTCATTTTTTTGTGAGTAGCTTCAAAAGGCTAAAAATAGCTCATTTGTATTCTATAAATGTATCCTTTTTTGTTGTTGTTTTCCCTTCCTTACCACCCCCAATACCATATGTTTGCTTGTGACATTTTGGGCATTTGGATAGGGAGAGATATGGCATTTATTTAAGAAGCACTAATTTGAGGACAGTAGTGAGAAAACAGTTGCAGTCCATTGTAAATGATTGAAGATGGGAAGTGTAAATGAAATGCAAGGCAAGTGAATAATAAATGCTTAATTATCTAGAGAAACCACAGTAAAGTTGCAGGACAGTCTAAACTTTGCCCCAGGCAAGCAAGAGTATGAAAAATGACTTGCTTAAAAATAAACTAACTTAATTCATTGACCTTTTTTTGTGAAACTCAGACCATCTTTCTTCATTGGATACAAATAACATTTGTCTCCATGGGACCTGTGAAAATAAGCTACAGAAAAAAATACTCATTGGGAAAAAATCTATGCAATGAATGGTTTCCTTTTAGAAAAGTCAAGTTAATACATGGCGTCTTCATGGAATGTCTTCATGGAATTGAGTCAAAGTGATAAATGGCAAACACACAGGGTCTTTTTTAAAGTCAGGATTGCATAGATTATCATTTCCACTGCCAAGGGGACTGGCCGAAGAACCTTTGAGAAAAATATTCAGATAATTCAGGTAGACCAACAATGCTAGGTTCTGCATTGATAAGTGAGAATGTCTTTGGAATTCACATTAATCTACATTTAATCAACACTACATTCTGTAAGAAGTCATAGGTGTTGAAGGTGCAATGTTGTGTCTGATAAATCCTAAAAAGAGACCTGCTCGGCTGGTGTGGCTCAGTGGTTTAGCGTTGACCTATGAACCAGGAGGTCATGGTTCGATTCCAGGTCAGGGCTCATGCATGGGTTGTTGGCTCAATCCCCAGCGTGGGGGGTGCAGAAGGCAGCAGATCAATGATTCTCTCTCATCAATGACATTTCTCTCTCTCTCTCCTTTTCCCTTCTTCTCTGAAATCAATAAAAAAATAATTCTTTCAAAGAGATCTATCTGGAGTCCAGTCACAATTGTGTGGCAACATAAAACATGTCAGCATCCATGGGATCGGATGGGGAGGAGTCCCAGCTAAGCAAGCGTGTATGGGAGGAGGACAGCAAGGAAGCCTTTCGAAAGGCGGTCACACCGAAGGCTGTGCCCTGGAAAACTGGTGACACTTTTCACAAGTGGTGGGTGCAGAATGGGAGAAACTTAAGGCATTTCAGCCAGAAGAAATCAAGGAGATGTGGTCAGGGGGAAC